ACACGGTCCTGGGCAAACAGCTGTAGGTGGCACTCCATGCTTGAACAGGGGTTTGGACTAGATGACCTTCAGAGGTCAATTCCCACCTCAGACATTCTGTGATTCTGTGATTCTTCTGTTTATGTGCATATATTGATGACAACAGACTCAGTCTTCCTCCTTGGAAGACAAAGATCACAGAGGGAATGTGTGGGCCTGCCCCTCAGAGAAAATGACCTTCCAGCTGCTGGGGACAAGCCAGCTGAGATTAAAAAAAGGGTAGATGTAAGAACAAAATGTTTTTTGCTGAGTGTGGTGAAACACAAGAACAGGTTGCCCAGACTGACAGATGCCACATGCCTGGAAACATTCAAGGCCAGGCTGAATGGGCTTCTGCACAACCTGGTCTAGTTGAAGATGTGTCTGCTGATTGGAGGGGGATTGGACAAGATGACCTTTAAAGGTCTCTTCCAACCCAAACCATTCTACAATTCTATTATTCTCTATCTTACATGTGTGGCCATGCCCAAGAGCTGTCAGTATATCTGCTGGGTTCATAGTTGGGAAACACCAGGTTTTAGCAAGCTGGGAGAGCAGTAGCACACCAGGCTGAGCAGGACCTTGTTGATGGAGCTGTGCTGGGGCAGGAAACCTTAAATCTAGTGTGGGTTTTGGAATATTAATCAGATCAGATAGGTGATGTGACTGCAAGAAGAGATGCTGCATAAGCTAGATGTTCTTTAATGTGCTTTAGATGATGAAGGGAAAAGCTGGTACAAACAGAATGGTATGATAAAATGGCAACTGTTCATTGTGTGAGCAGGAAGGAAGATCTAATTAGAAAGACAGTGCAGGAAAAAACCAGCCAGGTAAATGGGAAGAGCCTAAGGTATGCTGCTGCAGCAAACCAGCCTGCTGTAGGTGATACTTCTTGGGGGAATCACATACTGTTGCCTTCTGTTCCTTAGAGGAGGGGTGAGGAGGCTGTGCTGGGTGCCAGGATCCAAATATATCTGAAATTACAACAAGCAGGTGGCATTGGATAGGAAAAACAATGTATAAAAAGCTTTCGTGTTAGTAGTGAGAACTGGGACCTACTGGACAAAGACTGCAATGGGAAAATGTTACTTCAGTGGCAGAACTGGGCACATGATGGCTCAGGTTCAGTGAAGAAGCCAAGCCAAGAGAAGACATGGGGTGGCCCACGTGGTGCACATAAACTTGAATCGGACAAGGAAAAGAAAGAGGATTTGAAGGCTCTGCTGAAGGAGAGAAGCAGAAGAAATAATACATAGCTTTCCTCCCTTTTTAACTTTAGTGTCATGTAAGCACCCTACCTCCTTCCCCCCCATCAATTTGACTTGAAGGCTTAGCTACCAGGGAACATTTCTACTTAAAAAATAAAATAAAATTGTTTTTACATAAAAATGATTCACAAATACTTTCCTTTTGACTAAGCCTGATTTAATAATTTATGGGAGACTTCTCATGCTGAATTTTCAGCTACATGAAGAGCTCCACTTTCTTAACAGGACCACTATATATTCATTCTCTGACTTGTCATCGGCTGCAATGTTCACTGTAGTACAAATAGGCAGAGCTGAGAAATATTTAGGTACAGCTCCAGGTTTGTGTGTGTGCATTTTCATGCTTGTAAGACAGTCACCTATTCTGCAAGCAGTAGTGCCAAGATGGAAACTGAAGACTTTCCATCCTCTGCAGAGGATGTTTCTATTAAACACAGAGAAGACCTGAGGGCCCACTCCACACAGGCACAAAACTTGACAGGAAAAGTATTTGGATGCTTGGAGTTCTTCATATCTCAGTGCTAAGTGATGCTGTTCCCTCTTCCCACCTCACTCGCACATGAACAGAGAAAAGCTTGGCCACCACCTGACAATTTTTGCTTCTATCACAGGTCCCATTACATCCCCTACACAGAGTTGTAATGTCTTCCCATTATCTTAAGAACTGCTGAGGACAGATTGAGATGGAAAACGTAAAACTGCTGGTCTTTAAATGGAGCAATATTCTTACCTGTTTTAAACAACTGTCAGACCTCAGAAGTTGTCTTTCCTGGATAGTAGTGATAGTACACGTTTAAAAAACTTACTGAAGCAAGGGGCACTGGATGCTCCTTCTGCGCTCACTTCCATGCCTGGTGCCCCTTCAGAAACCAGCTCTGCCCAGGAAGTACAACAACCTTGGCAGCAATCTGGTCTTAATTCCTGCTCTCAGTCAGCCTTTCCCAGCAACAGGCCCTTGCTAGCTGCCTAAGATACAGACGCAGGCCAAGAAGATAGGACAAAGCAACTAGTCAAGAGATGTGGGGAACTTAATAAAGACTTAATAAATGCCATTTCACAAAGCAATTTGTTGCCTTTCCAGCTGCTCCTGTATCTTGAAAGAAGCGTAAGCTAGTGGAAGTGACAACTTCATACATCAAAATACCTCTTGGTAGGAGGTTAGCCAGGACATTTAACTTACATTCTATTTTACTTTTTCAGTTTCCATTTCTCTCTCCTGTCTATGCAGAGAGAATCTGGTGACCAGTTTACTCGATACAGCTGCCTGAATGAGCAGGAGTCTACCTCTAGACAGAGAGGAAGCTCAATGTCTTCTGGGTTGCTGTGGCAGGGAAAAATAAGTTGGTGCCTCTCAAAACTCCCTATACTAGGACCCCCTCTCCCTGAGAGCCAGGGTTATGGAAATTACCAGAATAATTAAGGTAAAAATAAGAATTGTCTGTGCAGTAATGGTCATTAGAGAACTGCTTGACTTTAATTCTGGCAGCACAGCATGCTCCCTCTGTGTGCAGCACTAACTGCAGGCTTTTACAGCTCCTGGAGAGGCAGAGGAGTCTTCACAGGCACCAGACCCTTAGACAGACACAGCTCTCAGTCTGGTGGAGAGCCCTCACTTGGGTGTTTACACAGGGGTTCAGATAATACTGGGACTAGTGGAGTGCTGATGGCTTTTAGGACTCCTGCCCAGAAACACAAACCACCAGCTAAACCAAAAGAGACAGCCATAAAATAAATCTGGGAAGAGTATAAAGCTTTTCACACTGAAAAGCTTCCCAAAATGTACGTGTACGGAATCACTCCACGCAGTGCTACTAGACAGCTGCCATGTTGGGAACACGGCATCCAATTAGCAGCTTAAACCAAGGCAGAACATTGCTGAGCTAACAGCAACCTACCCAGGTTTGTGTTTATATTCAGACCTTGAATGCTGCCTCAGAGCTGTGTGACTGGCAGAGACAAATCCCTGCTGAAATTTGTTGTCAAGTAATTTGCAGCATCACACTGACCGGAAAAGTTGGTATTATTTCAAATGGGTTAAATTTAAGTAAACAACAAACACACCCCACCATCCCATACATTTTAATGTCTAATTGCTGGGAGTCATTCTCTGATAGCTGGGGAGGCTGCTTTAAGTTGCTGAAAAAAACATCAACTTCCCCTTTGAAAAGCACTAGCCTTTTTCTTCTGTTATCCAATGCAACTCACCTGGAGACATCCTGCTTGTTTTCATGCAGGCCTGCAGGTTCCTGTAGGCTTTAGTTACGTGGCACCTGTGTCAATGTCCAGACATTTTCCTATAGAAAACACTATTTTTGTTGTATGGATGCTGGTCTTTCATTCTGAAGTGGACTGCCATTATGAAGCTTTAAACACTAGGCTGTTCTTTGTACATCAGCTGAGATGCTATTGAAATATTCTTTGTTTCACTGCTAAGTGGTGAAATTAAGTAGTTCTGCACCAGAGAAAACTTCCCTTTAACCACGACATTTGAATTAATGAGTCTTCTTTTCCTAACATGTTTTAAAAGGATTTTGTCTCTCTAGTTGGTAACAACTGAGAATAAACCATGGTTCTTATTTCAGAAATCCCAATCAGAGCAACAGAGTACATCTTCAGTGGCCAGTCAAAGAGACCTGAGAAAATGTCAGACTTTAAGAGTTCCCACACAAAAGAAATGAGAATCTCCTGAGCCAGTGTTTCTCAGTTACTTGCCTGAATCTTTAAATTTGCAGATGCCTTCAGTGTTTTTCATTATTTTCATGCAGAGTAAAGGAAAGATAGAAGAGAAGGGGGCCTTTTATTTGATGGTAGTGAATGAACAGGAAAGGGAAACAAAGCATACAAAATGAATTTTTATTAAATGAAAGAAAATCTGTTCTGTGGGTCAAATATGAAATAGAATATACAAAAACTTTACATCAGACCTCTTCTCAGAGAAATTACAGCCTATCTAGACGGAAGTAGCGCTCGTTCTTTCCAAGACAACACAAATGGGTGAATATGCTTCTTATGGCAGTATAGAATCACACAATATGCTGTGCTAAATTTCTGCTTACAGAGAATAGAAGTTAAAAATCTAAGTGATGTCCCTAACGAACCCAATTATTTCACAAAGTAACTGAGAAATATGAGTTTTGATCATTATGTATTCTCTTAGAAGTGAATGACAGGTGGGTCAACTGCAGAGTTCACAAAGCTTGAATATCACATACTCTGTTTCTATACAAATATAAATCGTTCTTTTTTTATTTTAGAAATCCTTTTGTATTTGAAAGCATTTAATTGTGGACAAGGATGACAAGTTTAACAGGTTCCTGCTGTACTACCCAGACAATTCCATCTCCTTTATTTCTTCTTTTTTTTTTTTTCTTTCTTTTTTTTTAGACCATTGCCCATAAACTACAGACTGCAATATTTTTAAAAAGTTGCTGTATGTTTAATCACAAATCCTGTATAAGAAGGTTCTGCAGAGCTCTTAACATGTCTTTGGCATAGCACACCAAGTCCCATTTAATACTTTTTTTTTTTGCTTAAAAAAGTATATTTTCCTTTAGTAAAACACCCTAAAAACATCTATTTCCGATTTTGTAAAATAATGTGTCACCTCTCATGTTGCTTTGCAAAATATACACACACGTTTTGGAAAAACATTGACCGTAGTCCAATCTGTTTATGAGAAGTAAAATGTAATCACAGACTCCTTCTGCGTGAATGTCACATGAAGTCGTTCAATTCAGCTTCAAGTGCTGCTGCCATTTCATCTGCTTCAGAACTGCTTCCTTCCTCATCTTCAAGGCTAGATTCTTTACTGGATTCACTGGCAGCATCATCTTCCTCCAGTTTGCGCTTGTGACCCCTGGAAGGGTAGACAGAGATCATGTCCACAAACTGAGGTATCTCATTGCTTATTATCAAAGATCACTATTTAATAAGAGACAAAAATGGGGCTGAGGGACCCAACCTTTTTTCAGGTCAAGACAAAAAGTACTGCACTTGCTTTTAAATGAACAAACAGCGGTTTGTTCACACAATTTTAAAATTCCTGTTACTTAGTCAGCTGTAGTTACAAAGTACTGTTTATATTATTTCTCCCATTCTTCTGAAAAAGGAACTAAATTAAGATTGTTTGAAAATAATGAGTTTATTTACTTTCCTCTCACATCCCAAAATAAAGAAGAAATCCATGGTGTGACCAGGTTATATATAACAAAATATATGCTTTTGAAGTATCCAAATTTTGTTGTTGTTTGTTGTGGGGTTTTTAAAATAAAAAACAAACCTTAACGGATTAACCAAATCTCACTGCACCAGCTTTTACCCTTTTGTGCTTCCAAATGCAGGGATCTTGTTCTTCCATTTTATGTCTTATTGTCTCTTTGGATTAGTACTGTCAGGCTGAGCAACACCTTTCTTCGCATCTAAGGGGAATTAACCAGTTTAAACAGGAGGCTGATGTGCACCACACACTGCCAAAGGAGTCATGTTCCTGGTTGTGAAAGATCTCCAAGGAAAATCTAACACTTCAACTGAGACATAGCCATAAGCAAAACAATTTGGATTTGAATCCTGAAATCTCTTTTCCTTGCCAAAAGGGAATTTTGCATCAGACATGTACTTCTGTGACAAAAATAAAATGGAGACTTTGCATTGCATAGAATTCATAATGAGCTGTAGAAATACCTTCAAAATTCTTGATAATTTGATCAGATTTCAAGCAAAGAAATGCATACAAAGACTGTACCTCTTAAATAACCATCCTTCTCATTGTTAATTGAGGTCTCATTAAGAAGAGAATGCATTCACTTGCAGTAATGAAAAATTGGTAAAATAATATTTTATTTTTTAGCAAAAAGCAATAATTTAACAATGGGCCCTTTACTTCTGAGCATATAGAAAAGTGGCATGTATTAAGAAAGACCTTTGATAAATACTGACTTGAACTATGTATATCCAAAAGAAAGAAATGCAAGGATTAACAACCAAACGTGTGAGCTTTTAAGCAACACTGAAATACAAAGCAATTTTTATTTATAGAGACATTCTTATTGCCATTTTCCCAGAAACATGAAGTCTCGGGAGCTGAGACTGTTTGGTTTGCAGGCTGGCTGAGTGACACCTAACTTCCCCTTCCTCCTCTTTTCAGGGACATGGACAAGATGGGGTGTGAAGTCACGACTGGGGCACATTCAGGAGTAGGGAAGCGATCATCACTCTGTACTGGCCAGTGGTGAGGCCACACCTTGAATACTGTGTTGAGTCTTGGAAACCTCAGAACAGGAAAGACATTGAGGTGCTGGAATGGGTCCAAACAAGGGCAACAAAGCTGGTGAAGGGTCTGGAGAACTAACCTTACAAGGAGCAGCTGGGGGAACTGGGGTTGTTTAGTCTGAAGAGGAGGAGGCTGAGCCCTTCTAGCTCTCTACAACTACCTGAAAGGAGGTTGTAGTGAGTGGGGGTGTCGGTCTCTTCTCATTAATGACTAGCAACAGGATGAGAGGAAATGGCTTCAAGTTATGTCAGGGGAGGTTTAGGTTGGATGTTAGGAAAAACTTAACGTACAGAAAGGGTTATTAAGAACTGGAACAGGTTACCCAAGGAGGTGTTTGAATCACCATACTTGGGGATGTTTAAAAATTGTATAGATACAGTGTTTAGGGACATGGTTTAGCCATGGGCTAGGAGAGCTAGGTTAGTAGAGTTAGGTTAAAGGCTGGACTGGATGATTATACAGGTCTTGTTCAACCTGAACAATTCTATGATTCTACATAGCTAACTGAGTAATAAAGATAAATGAAGACATGGTGGGAATCTATAGCACAATGTTCACAGCTGAAAACATTCGTATTCTTCTGTTTGTAACACTGCATCTATGAAAACTGATGGTACCTACCAACTAAAAAAGAAACTTATCAGTCTAACAGCTATAATTTACACATATGAAACATGTATACACAGCTGCAGATGATGTATAAAAGAACGTGGCAGGACAAACAGGTTTTTAGAGCCAGTCCAAATATTGTGAGTTTGCTGGGTCCTAAACCAGTAGCAAAGATCCTGTAGAAAAAAGGTCTATGTAGAAACAGTATCTCACCGCCATTTGTTAAACGTGAACTGTTCATTTACTAAATAATTAATGCAAATATTAGCAGAATTATTAATGTATGCAACAAAGCATAAATCTACTTCCTAGGAACTAGATTTCAATGAGGACTACCAACAAAACACAGAGGCCTGAAATACTCAGTGTAACTAGAGTGTAACTAGTTTAATTAAAGAATGGAATTCCAGGCTACAAAAATACTTTCCAGAAAATTTTAAGGGACAGTCTGGACATATTTTCATCCCTCATTTGGTTGTATTAAACAGTACCTTTGGAAATGCAAAAGACTGAACATGACCTATTTTGTAAGTTCTTGTTCTTTCAGGAGGACTAGAACAACAGCTCTCTTCAATCTAGGTACCAAAACTTCTTCACTCATGGGGAGGAAAAAACCACCAAAACCAAAAAAGAAAACTAAGTAATAGTTCTCTGTTTCATTCATAATGAACCCAAAACACCTGTAATTATACATGTATAAAAGGTTTTTTTTAGGAAAATCTGATCTATGGAATGCTAATGAGAAATATACTTAGTGGTAATGCAAATAAAGAGACAGGAAGCGAAGATATTACAAAGCTGCAATGCAGTATAGTGAATGCATGTGAAAAATGGCACAAAAATTATTGAAAAAATTATTTAACTCTTGATGTCTTGAAATTATCACTAAAATATGATTGTAAAGTTTAACTATAGGTCAAATGAAAACTTCATTCTTATACTTTGTTTACTTCACTGAAAGAGCCATATGGAACAAAGCAGTGAAAAGAAGTCCAGTATTCATTGTGTCTGTTACATTAGGGTCTCAATTTACAGGTAGCTGAAAACAAGGTTGGAAAAAACATTTTTTTCCGGTTAATCGAAAAAGCAGAAAGTCTCCAGTCTGCTTTGCATCCCAGTGACACACTTCTAAGAAATACAGTGCTACATTAAAATAGAAACTTCTAATAAGGCAAAGGGCAACATAATGCTTGTTTTAAACAAAGCAAAACTGAACTTTTTCCAAACTTAGATCTGCAGAAGAAAATTACAGCAAGTTTATTTCACACTGCAAATTTCAGAGTAGGGATGGGGGTTATGGGTAACTAAACTTCTACATTATTGCAAATTGACCCCTTTAGCCATTATCTCTACTCTGACAAATAAACTTCTAAATTATTGCAAATTGACCCATTTTTTCAATAGCTCCTAAAATTGGTACAATAACAAAGTAGAGTCTGCAGACTAAATGCATTTAGTCTTTTACAAGCAATCAGCTTACAGCATTAGCATCATAAATCGGGACGTAAATCTGGTACCAAACACAGTCAAGGTGATCCCTAATGAAAATACATAGCAGATGAAAGCAGTTCAAAAGGCAATGGTTTGAAAAGAACATTCTGAAACAGCTTGCTGCCTTCTAAAAGCATTACAACCCTGCAAGACCACCTCTTGCTGCCCCAGGCACAGTGTTGAAGTCTGATGTGGAAGGTCTGTCTCAGTTTCTGTACACACCCTGGCCCACAGCTCTCCATAAACTCCTTCTATAACGGAGAGAAGGGTGATGCTGAGTTTAGTAATGCAACATGAATTTGACTCCCTTCCACAAGAATCTGACTATGAGAACAATTAATTTAGATAAACTAGTTCTGTAGCAATGTTCTTCAAGTTGCTATGAATTATAGCTGGGAAACCAGGAAAACCTTTCTTCAACCAGTTTTGAAGATGCCAGACCAGTCCTTGGCTAACAAGGTTAAAGGACATGCGATCTGAGAACATATAGATTGAAAATCAATGTTGTGGGCATGAAAACATTACACTGGACAGAAATTTTCAGGGAGATGTTCCATGTTTTGCAGTTATATTTTCTTAACATGTGATACATGGAAACATCTTTCATGTACCCTTGATACAACAGTGAGCAATCATCCATAGCAGGCCTGTAAAATTCAGGTGTCTACCCTCTGATAATTTGTCTCATACATCGGTGCAGGCACATTGAATCTTCTGCCCTGGTGCTCCTCCTTGGCCCTAGCATTGCATGCAGCCAAGCACACAGCCTTAAAAGCAACATATAGCACTAGCTCCATATTGGCAAGCTAGAGTATGTATTCTTACTTTACGGAATTATGGGATGATCTAGAAATCAGTGTAGAAAGAAGTACTGAAAGCATTTATTGCAGGGCCCCAGCATGCAGAAAGAGATCCTGCAGTTAGATGAATGGCATCCTTTTAATGCAGATGTCTTTGCAGAAATCCACCAATTCGAACTGGCAGCTCTAGCTTACACAACAGTAAAATGAATCTAATTAGATTTTGTACAGCTTCAGTGCTGTCTGCTTTAAAATTTAGCACACCTACACACTATTCTAATGGTGAGAAACTATTATGGCAACTCTTACAACTATTTTAAAAACACTTTTACAGTTCTCTGAAGCAAATACTCAGTGTATATCTAAATTGAAAGAGAGTTTTTGAAGTCAGGAAGTCATAGAAAACAAAAAAAATAATCAGAAATTACTATAATGTGTCAACAGGGATATTTTGTAAATTTTGCTAAAATTATCCATTTAGCAAGGCTGTATTTTCTGGATATTTAGACCAACAGGGAAGTTTTAATAACAAAAAAACCCCACCCCAACTCATTGAAAATTATTTTGTCTTAACAGGTAAACATTTGCTTGGGATATTTCAAAAACAAAGAGTGCAGCAATAAAGCTTTAAAGTAATAAGACAGGGCACGGAAATAATTTTTTCTGTGCTGAACTAATTAGATACAG